CTTTAATCCCAGCACTCGGGAGGCAGAGGCAGGCGGATCTCTGTGAGTTCGAGGCCAGCCTGGGCTACCAAGTGAGATCCAGGAAAGGCTCAAAGCTACACAGAGAAACCCTGTCTCGGAAAACCAAAAAAAAAAAAAAACAAGAATACAATCAAAACTGGGTTATATTTCTTTTCACATCAACATAGCCACAAAATTAATTTTTTTGTGTGTGGTAGTTTGAATGAGAATGGCCCTCATAGGCTCATATACTTGAATGCTTGGTCATTAGGGAGTGGTACTACTTGAGAGGGATTAGGAGGTGTGGTCTTATTGGAGGAAGTGGGTTACTGGGGGTGGGCTTTGGGGATTTCAAATGCTCAAGCCAGGCCCAGAGTTTTTCTCTTCCTGTTGCCTGCGGATCCGGATGTAGAACTCTCAGCTACTTCTCCAGCACCATGCCTGCCTGCACGCTGCCATGCTCCCCACCATAATGCACTCAACCTCTGAAACGGCAAACTCCAATTAAATTGCTTTCCTTTATGAGTTGTCATGGCTGTGGTGTCTCTTCACAGTAACAGAACACAGAGACAGTGTGTGTGTGTGTGTGTGTGTGTGTGTGTGTGTGTGTGTAGTGTGTGTGACATGCTTATCATTTTTTAAATTGTGTACGTTATTCTTTTCTAATGAAAAGCCTTGGGAACGCAGGTGTCTAGAGTGTCTCTTTGTGCATCCTGGGCAAGCTGCTTGAGAGACAGACCGCACACATTTCAGACTGGGGCCACACGGTCACTGTTGTTACTAAACTCCTTGCAGAGACAGCAACAGACAACAGACATGGAGGGGTGCGGCCACACGGCAAAGGAGCCCCGTGGAAGCAGCTCGGAGCGGGGTTAGGTCGGAAGTCCTCAGCCTGCAGTTCCTGCCGTCCTCGTTCAGCAGGCGCCGGCGCGGCGTTTGCTGAGTGGATGGATGCACTGAGCATTGCTAGCGGTGGGGACGAGCGTGTTTGCGGAGTGGAGGTCAGTTTTCATGTCACCTCAGCCCTCGTGCGCTGTGTGGCACGGGGCAACCCGCTGCCTTTGCCGTCAGTAAACGGAGGCAACACCCCCGCTTGCCAGGCTGCACGGAGCAGATGAAATGCTACAAAGGTCACCGTCCTACCTGGAACAGGAACAGAGGTCCCGTGGGCAGCTCAGGGACGGAACTGCCACTTCTTAGAGGTCTGGTGGCCTGGGGAATGTCAACTTGGCACAGGAAAAGAGGGGGCGGGGCCAGCCAATAACATGACCCGAAACACAAACAGTCCCCAGAGAGGGGCCGAAACTCTCAGGTTAGTGAGAACACGCTCGTCAGGTTTCTGTGCTACCTCTGAGCAAGAAGACCTGGGAAGGTGGCCCGGCCTGGTCTCAGTTGGCATTACTGACAGGAGCCGGCAGGAGCCCGGCTGCTAGAGGAGCCTTGAGTGCCCCAGACTGCTGATTGGCCAGGTCATTTCTTCAGAGCCAGAGGCGGCATATCAGGGCCAGAGTATGTCCCCTGGAGGAGCCTAATGCTCCCATCTCACTGGGGACCACCTAAGACTCACAAGCTCTCTCCAAGGTGGCCTGCAAGGGCAATTTGGAGGTGTGTGTGAAAACAGACAATACACAGTGTTGAGGCTCTGGGAAGCTCAGGCTCTTTGTAACTGTGTCAGGGCTTGGACTCACTCTAGACAGCTTGAACGATGACAGTTTTCAAGACCTAGAAAAGTGTGGTCCAGGACCCTAGGGCTCTATGGGGATGGCAGGGTTTAGGCCAGCAGAACTGGGTATCTCTGCCTGGAGAGGGAGGGAGGTTCTCCTAGACAGCGGGGAGCTATCGGCAGAGGGAGGGACTGCTAGCAGAGTTCTGTCCGCTGCTTTAGAAAGGAGCTGTGTTTGCTCCCCTGGGCACATTAGTGTCCTTCAACTAGAGAGCTGGATTCCCTGGGCATGGACCTGGGTTCTTCAAGGAAACCCTGCATGTTCCAAGATCAGCAAAGGGTCTAGGGGATGGCTCAGTGGATAAGAGTGACTGCTTCCAAGCACATGGACTGGAGTTCAAATCCACAGCACCCACTTAAAAACCCAGGTGTGGCTGTGTGTGCCCATAGCTCCAGCGTGTGGATGGGAAGTGGGACAGCAGAGGGAGAATCCTGGGATCTCACGGGCCAGCCAGCCTAGCTGCACCCCCTTCCAGTTCAGCGAAAGACCAAGGACTAAGGTGAAGGATAGAGGAAGATATTCAAAATCCTCCTCTGGCCTCCGTACACGTGGAGGCCTCAGGCATACACTGCGTGCATACACACACACATTCAAAATAAAAATAAAAAATAATTTAAAAGATCAGCAAGGGGGGCTGGAGAGATGGTTCAGTTAAGAGCACTGGCTGTTTTTCCAGAGGACCTGGGTTCAATTCCCAGCACCGACATGGCAGTTCACAACTGTCTGTACCTCATTTCAGGGGATCCGACACCTTCACACAGACAAAACATGAATGTGCATGAAGTGAAAATAAACAGAAAAGATCAGCAAGGGTCCAGGGCCTGGAGACCTGCAATCCCAGTACTTGAGTGGGGATGGTGCTAGGAGGATTGCAAGTTCGAGACAAGCCTGGGTTACACGAGCAAGACTACCTCAAATGCAACACAAACCAAACCCCACGGGGAGGAGTCACAGCCCAGCCAACCTTCCCTCTAGGCCTCAGTATCCCCATCTGCTAAAGCAGCCGAGTAGCTGGGGACCCGCAGGTTTTAGGACTGTTTTGGGTGGGCTTTGGGTCACGGTGGGGCACAGCTGTCCTTCTCAGTCTGGGGACTAGGAATAATTCCTTATCGGGTCCAGCCTGTTGCTGTGGTATTCTGGGTGTGGATGACACCGGATGTCCAGGAGGAGCCTGGGTGCTGGCTTAAAAAGGGGGGCGTGGAGGCTATTTCTGGAAGTCTGAAATGGGGAGACACGTGGGTGTGGGAGGTGTTGGGTACTCGGGGAAGAAACCTGAGCTAAGGCTGGAGTCCAGCCCTTGGGAAACTGTACCAGCACTGGGGTGGGGCAAGAGAAGGGCCTGACAGCTGGGAGGCACCCAGTGGGACCAGAATGTCCCTCCTCCCGGGCACCTGTCCTCAGGCTCCTCTGACCTTTGGCCCCACCCCATAAACACTTCTGGAGAGGCAGCAGAGAAGCCCTAGTGTCCAGTGCCCACTCCCACCCTCATACCAGCATTCCCAGTAGGGGGTATTCATCACAAACCACGGAGACCCCCTCATCTTTCCAAGCACCCCACTTTCATGTCTCAAGACTGTTTGAATTAGACATGGCTGCTAGTGCCATTCTACAGATTAGGACTTGGGACTCAGAGAGGTGAAGTGACCTGTCAAAGGACACACAGCTGTCAGTTACGGGGCCACGGTGAGCCTCTGGGTGCCTGTAACCATGGGCAGACTGAGTAATGAGTAAGACTACGTGCTAGGTTAGCCTGAGGTGGGGAGAGACTCAGCTGCCTTAAGGGTGGAGGGCAGGAATCTAGGGAAGGCAAGAGACATACTCTGGGTCTTGAAGATGTACAATTTAGAATGGATGAAATGGATGGGGAAGGGTTTTCTCAGGGAGGTAACAGCTTGGGCCAAACCTCAGACAATTGTGACGGAAAGAGTAACCCAGCCAGGGTCACTGCTATTTTATGCTATGAGGGGGTGGGCTGAGGTGGCTGGACCCTGACAGTGTCCTGATGCCTGGAACACCCAGGGCTTTGTAACAACTGATGGATACGTTTCTTGGGTTGAGTTTGGTAGGGACACAAGGCCTGTGGTCCAGGGCTCCAGGGGCAGAACTGTAGGATGCATGGGCAGAAAGCTCTGTGTCTCTCAGACCTACACAGAGGCTCCTGCAGAGTTCTGGGTGGACAGGAAGCCGGCCATTCCTTCTGCACTGGAGAATGGCTTCTGTGTGCACCACAACAAAAAGGCTTTTCTGCCAAGGGGAGGAGAGGAAGCAGCCAGGCTTGCTGGGTCCAACCCCAGCCTGAAAGGAAGCTCTGTCCCAGGCCCTGGAATCTTGGATTCACAGAATGAAGAAGGCTGGGGGTGGGTGGGTGTCCAGTCCCTGTCTCACTCTTCATCAGCATCAGGTGGGCCAGGCAGGGCAGGGGTTTGCCAAATTGGTCTGCCCAGGTCTGATCCTAGCATGGCGCTTCCCAGCTGTATGGCCTTGGCCAAGTCACTTCCCCTCCGAGACCCATTTTCCTCCAGAATAAACTGTGAGCGGGAGCATCCTGGTTGGTCAGGGTCACAGTCACACGCAGACAGGGCCAGCAGCAAGTTCTCACCACCCTTTCTTCATGGAGCCTGAGTCAGGGCAAGTTCCTCTCCTGCAGCCTCGACTTGGGGGCAGAAGGGAACCCTGGGCACCTGAGGCTGCAGCTCTAAATGTCATAGACAAGTAAAGACTGGAAACACCTGGCTGGGGATGATAGCGACTCATGTATCTTCTTGAATGTCTTATTTCAAACAAAAAAATAAACAAACAAATAACCCCAAAACAAAAGACCAAAAAAAAAAACCCACCCCCCCAAAAAAAACCCAAACCAAATTTGAGAACTAGTAAAATGTCAAGGAAAAGGGATGTTGAGAGAATTGCGGGGAGCCCCTGATTTCTTGGGCCATAGCAGAGTACAGATGGGTAGCTCATCAAGCAGTTCTTGAGGAGCCAAGGCCTTCGTCAGGCCTTTCCTCTGGCCTTGGCTCTAAGGAAGAGCAAAGAAGGGCTACAAGAGCAGGGCCTTGCTCATCTCTGGGTCCCACACTGCCTTTCACCTGACCTGTGGCTTCTGATCACCCCAAGATCACAAGCAGAGGCAGTCTAAGCTGGGGTCACAGGCTTGGGCTTCTATACGGGAACGTCAAGATGCCTCCTCCCACGGCTGTTGTCCGAGTACCCAGTGCTGAGCTCAGTGCTGCTTCCCGGATGAGCCAGAAGCTCTGGGCTTTGAGGGCCAGCCCTTCCAACTCTCCTCAGCCCATTCCCATACAAAGAGAGGAAGGGGTGGGGCAGGGGTGGGGTGTCGGGGTAGGGAGCATTGTTGAGGGGCCTTGCTGATGCGAGGCTCTGACTTGGTCTAGGACTGAGCATGGACACAGGGTTGTAGGTGGACCCCAGTTCACCAGCCACACCCAGGCCCACCACACCCCAGTTCCTGCAGGCCTGTGGTGGGGTTTTCTGCCACTGCAAAGACAAGGCAGTAGGTCCTAGTGTGCTTCATTCTCTGAACATGGAGAGGAAAGTTCTGGAGGCAAAGTGGTTCCATTACCCAGTTCTCCCCAGGCCCATCCCTGAGCTCTTGTTCAAACCACCTCCTAGGCTGCCCAAAACCCAGTCAAGGTGGGTGATTGGGTGGCCTTGCCTGGCTCTTCCCACCCCTCCTAGATGGGGAGTAATACGGGAAAGTGGGCTGTCCTCTCTTAGCACCACCAAATGCCAAATAAACCAGTTCTCAGACTCAGCTGAGAGTCTCCCATGCTCTTCTAAACCCTGGCCCTCCTGGACTCCATCCCAAAGGTCCTACCAAACTGGGAGCAGGGTCTTCCTCAGGATCCCAGCTGGGCCCCGAACCCTGCCAAGCAGGTCTTCCTCGCGGCATGCTACAGCCTAGGTTTACAAACGCAGCCACACTCGCTGGCTGTACATTTAATCAGTGCAGATTATTTACAGAACTAAACAATGGGGGTGGAGGCCGTCCCCACCCCTGGCTGGCTCTCAAGTCCTGCAGAGGTGATGTCCAGAGAGGGCTGCTGGACCCCCACCCCACCCCACCCCATCCAGTGCCAGGCTATGAGAATCCACTACTCAGAGAGAGGTGGTGGCCCAGAGGTGGTGGTGGCGGCCCTTCACTGTTCAAGGCTTTAGGGAGGCAGAAGAGACCGGAGCCAGCTTTACAGTACCATTTCCCACAGAGGCCTCCCGCTGACTCCGGAAAGAAAAGAGGAGGGGAGGCCACCTTTCACCCTCAGGACAGACTTCCCAGGCCATAGTGGATTCCTTTGGGGGTTCTGCAGCCTCTGTGTGTGGGGAGCTGCTGGCCTGTGCCTAGTAGTGTCATGTGCGGAGAGAGAGCTGGAGGGGAGGAGGCCCACAAGCCTGGTCTATGACATCCTGGGCATCCATACATCAGGCACTGTCTGGGGACCTCTGGTACCCTCGTCTGTGTGCTTGCCAGCCTCATCTCTCCAACGGTTGGGACAAGGACAGCAGAAGCCCGAGGGTGAGGGAGTGCCCAGCATCCCGAGACCTGGGGGGTGATAAAGAGAGCGGGGCAGCCTAGGGAAGATGAGGCTAGTCACTAGCATCGGGAGGGGAGCTGACAGGCTCCCTTTGGTCCTTGGTGAGACAGGTCCAGGGCCCCTTCCCAGGGGAAAAGAGCTGCAGGCCCAGGGGGGTGTGGGAGCTTCTGATGGCCAGGATCGGGGAGGGCTTTCAGGCTTCTGGGCTCTCAGAAGCAGCCTAAGAAGGAGCCAAGCCACAAGGTAATCAGGATGGCTCCTGGGCCATAGGCTCTTCCTAAGGCAAATTCAGGAGGGTGGAGCCCCGGCTGGGCTCCTTCAAGGCAAACACAGCTCTTGTCACGGGAGGAGAGGTTCAGGCTGAGGAGAGCCAGAGCTGAAGCCGCTTCCCAACCTTCCTCTGCCACCTTCCAGAGGTGAGCCTCTGTCCCTTAGTCCCTGTCTGGAGCGGCACACTCGGAGATCTTCAAGCATCGCCTGATCCCAGTCAGGAAAGCAGAAACAAATGCTGAGACAAGGTGCCGAAGGAAAAAAAAAAAGACACCTGGGCATAAATAAAGGAGGCTGGGGCAGGACTGACAGGGGAATGTGTGTGGCCAGGAGGGGATCCCAGCGGGCTGAGGAAGCATCTGGGAGCCCCACGCCTGCCCCTGCGGACCTGAGCACCGGGTGCTGGGGGCGGTGCGCGCGATCACACCCACTCCTGCAGCGAGCGCTTGCAGTAGAGCAGCATGCGAGGCGCGCCCTTGCGCTGCATCTGCACCAGGGCAAAGGCCAGGCCCAGGATGCACAGCAGCAGCAGCAAGGGGACCAGCACCATCACCACGTTCACGGTCCGGACCACCTCCTCCATCTGCACCACCACGCGGCTGCCCTCGTCCGTGTCACCCGCCTCCTCTTCCTGGCTGTCCCCGTCCGCCGCCTCGGGCTCCGCACCCCCGTTGGGGTTGAAGGGTGGACGAGCCACATCGGGCCATCGTGGCCGGGGCTCCACGTGCTCCTGGCAGCCCATGAAGTCCCGCAGGATGGATTTGGGGTGGCCGGGCTCCATGCGCAGGCGCTCATTGTTGAATTTCCAGTATTTGGTGCCCTTGTAGAAGTAGGTGTAGGCTATAGGAACAGACAGGCCAGGATGGCTTCAGGCTGGGGAAGGCATGGAACTTGGGGGTAGAGCACTTAAATGGTCTCCCAGCACCAAAGCCAAACCAGAAAACAAACAAAAGAATACTCTTCCTCGCTTGCTTGTCTGAGTCTTCTCAAATCTGCTACCCTGCTGAGGCTTGGGGGACGGGTTGGGTCCCCCAGCTTCTTGGCTAGGCTGACAGGGCAAAAAAGGGGCCCACAGCCTGCCAGGATACAGGTATCAAGGAACCCCACCGTACACCCCAGGATTGTCTTCTATTCCCAACCATAGGGGCAAGCGTGACTGTGTGTGGCCTTGGGCCTTCATGGACCTGGGATGAAACCCAGTGCTGCCTAGACTGGCTCCTGGCCTTGGGCACCTTGTATCTATCCCACTGACAGCAGGAAGGGCCAGGTTTGAAGCTAGGGTGGTTACTGAGTGCAGTGAGCTCAGGGCACCTGCAGCGACATGCCCGCACACAGAGTCACGTGATCAGGCTGAGCCTTGCAAAGCCGGCAAGTCGGCCCTGAACATGAGCATCCCAGATAAAGAACCAGACAGACAGGGACCTTGCTGGAGAACTTACAGGGTCACAACTGCTGTCCCTCTTTACAGTGACAGAAACTAGGCTTCTCTTGCTGGTCTGTGAGCACTACCCGGAGAGGACCCTGCTCCAGCACCGAACCAGGCCCACCGCCCTGAGGCTCTGAGTTCCTGAGCTCCAGCTCCGGACACAGACAGGCATGGGTGGCCTCTCCAGCTGTGGGGCTGGAGGTCCATCCACAGAGGACAGTAACGATGCAGGGAAGGCAGGGTGTCATGCTGGAGAAGACCCCAGGCTTCAGCGGGGCACAGCTGGGTCCTCCTTCAATGCCTCCACAAGGACATGGAGCCTTGGGCAAGTGCAGGGCCCTCTGGGAGGGGCTGGCCTGGTACCTGCATCGTTGCTGAGGAAGGCCCCTTTGGGAGAGGTGGGGATCCCTTGCCAGACGCTGATGGGCTTGGGGTAGCCAGGGTCTCCATGTTGTGTCTCCTCATTGAAGCGCCAATACCTGTGACCAGAACAATCAGGCTATGAACCTGGAGCCCTGCTTGGGCCTCGGGCCGTTCTCCCCATTGGCTCTCTTTGGGCAGATCTGAGGATGCTGGGGGGAGGGGGCCTGGCTAGAGCATCCTCCTTTAGGGGGAGGGGCATAACAGAATGCTCACCTGTCTGCTTGAAAGAAGAAGGTGTGACCCGTGGGTTCCCACCAGATGGCTGTGTCGATGCGGTCATAGGGGATGTCTGTACCGTAGCTGCTCAGGGGCTGTGGGTAGCCAGGCTCCAGATTGGCTTCTCGGAAAAGCCAGTAGCGGTTACCTGCACGGGGAGCAGTAGGTTGTGTGAGGACGGGCCTGGGTTGGGGGATAGAGACGGCAGAGGAAATGGGTCCACAATCCATTCACACCATCACTGCCCATCCTGACACATGTATGCACAGAACCACAAGCACTCAGCCTGGTACTCACACACGCATCTATGCTCATGGAAACCTGCGAGACACTCATTTCTCTGTGTACAAGTCGGCTGCTCCCACCCAGCCCGCCCACACGCTGTACACAGCCCTGCATCCCACAGGACACCTCCTCTAGGCCTGGGAGCTATGTCCCTGAGATACTCAAGTGGCCCTTATGGTGACAGGTCTGGACCTCCCCACCTCAGCATGAGTCCAGTCCTGTATTCAGAGGGCTCCTGCTGGGGCCAGAGATACAGCTGATCTGTCAAGGGGTACTGCCCCCTACCCAACGCCTTTTCTCTGCAGAGATCCTGGCGACGTGGGTTTGGGAACCTGTTCTGTTCTCTTCCTTCCTTCCTTCCTTCCTTCCTTCCATCCTTCCTTCCTTCCTTCCTTCCTTCCTTCCTTCCCCTCCCTCCCTCTCCCCTTCTTCCCTCTCTCTCTCTTTTTGGTTTTTTGAGACAGGGTTTCTCTGTGTAACAGTCCTAGCTATCCTGGAACTTGCTCTGTAGACCAGGCTGGCCTCAAACTCACAGATATCCTCCTGCCTCTGACTCCCAAGTGCTGGGATTAAAGGCGTGCACCACCACCACCTGGCAATAATTTATTTATATTTATTTTATGTGCGTTGGTGTTTTGCCTACATGTGTGAGGGTGCTAGATCTCCTGGAATTGGAGTTTTAGAGAGTTATGACCTGCCATATGGGTGCTGGGAATTGAACCCAGGTCCTCTGGAAGAGCAGCCAATGTTCTTAACCTCTGATCCATTTCTCCAGTCCCATGGGGATCTGATCTTTTTTTTTTTTTTTTAAGATTTATTTATTATGTGTACAGTGTTCTATCTGCATGCATGCCTGCACACCAGAACAAGGCATCAGATCTCATTTTAAATGGTTGTGAGCCACCATGACATTGCTGGGAATTGAACTCAGGACCTCTGGAAGAACAGCCAATGCTCTTAACCTCTGAGCTATCTCTCCAGACCCAAGGGGATCTGTTCTTCAAGAGGACAGCCTGTTTTTTACAAGAACTCATTCTCAGAAGAACCAGAAGCAGGGCTGGGGATGGTGAGGTGAGGCTCCCAGGCTGCAGAAGATGGCAGAGATACATCCTTAATTCAGCAGTCCTGGCCTTCAGGGTCTAGGCCTGCCTCTGCCCGCAGCCTCTGTCTACCTCTCCACTCACACCCTGCTACCCCCGGGTGTTGAGCAAGCCCACAATGGGGACTGGAGATGCAGGATTCTCTTCTAGCTAGCAATATGGCAGGAAGGCTGCCCAGGCCTCTCACCACCGTCCTGGCTTACCTTTGAAAAAGACAAAATGTCCATCCTGGCGCTCATAGGCAGCACTGATGTTCCCCGGCAGACCCCGCCAGAAGTGGCCAATTGGCATAGGGTAATTGTCCAGAACCCGGTTGTGCCGGACTCGCCAGAACCAACGGCCCTGTGGAAGGGGGTGGGTATTGATGGGCAGCACGTGCAAGATGCTGCATTGGCTGAGGGTGGGAGCTGCGTCTACACTGTTTTCTCCCCGGGTCAGGGATGATCTACCAGAGAGGCCATCCGGTCCTGAGGAGCCAGGCAGTACCTGGAAGGCCAAAGCAGCTCCAAGGAGGGAGCTCTGGGGAGCAGGCACCTGATTGCCGTACGACCCTTTGACAAGTCCCTTGTTTTCTTGGGTTGGTTTCTTCCCGGTCTAGGGTTTGGTCGGTACCCAGGAGATGTTAGCAAGGGGAGAGCTGGTGGGCTTAGAGAGGTCACGTGAGGGTGGGGCGGGAGCAGGCTCTGGGTTGGCTGGAGGAGGCACCGGGAGGATGGGGCCAGACCTTGAACACAAACATCTCTCCACGCAGCACAGCCACTGTGTCGAAGTTGCCGTCACAGATGTTGGGGCCATACTGGTCAGGCCTCTCTGTGGCCCGGGGCTGGGGTGGGGGCCCTGGCTTGGGGGGCCTCTCTGGCTTCCCACCTGGATGTGGTGGCTGGGGAGGCCGAGGGGGCTGGTGGTCCGGCCGTCCTGGCCGTCGGGGCCTCACAGTGGGGAGAGGCTGGGTGGGCTGTGGCTTACCATCTGGGGAGCCTATAGAGAGGTGAGATCAAGGAGTGAGAGCAGACCCAGAACCCAGCCTGGATGCCAGGTTCCCCTTACATACAATGCTGAAGGCCTGAGCACACCCCCTCCAGGTACAAGGCCTGGTCTACCCCACAGCAGACCCCTTCCTGGGCTACCCCATCACCATCCATGGCAGAGGCAGGGGTAAGCCTCCTCCACACGATCCTTTTCTTAACCTCGCTGCTGGGTGGGAGGCAACCTGCCTCTGCGTTCCCTGAGGACATTCCCCTTACATGCTGGTCTACTCAATGGGGCCCTAGGAAGGGAGGCACTGCAGCAAACTCAGGAGCATGGCTCTGGCCCAGGCTGCAGCAACTTGAACTCTACCTGAGGCACAGCTCGTTACTGAGCTGCTGGGGGCAGAGGAAGGAGTATCTGTGAGGTGCCACCAGAGGAGGGTCCGGTGTGGACACAGAAGCACAGGCCCTGACTGGAAGAGCTGGCTTTGGGGAGACCTGGCCGCTGTAGATTTGTTGGGTGGAGTCTGGGCTGGGTAGACAGCTGTCTCAAATCCCCTGGAAGTCTAGAGAGTGCTGGGGACAGACTCAAGACTGTGGGTCCTGGGGACCCTGGGACACCCTTAGTCTAGTAGGAATACTGTCAAGGATAGGAGAGAAATAGGGTGGATCATCTGCATCCCCTTGCAGCTCCAGTCTGGGGCTACAGTGTGGGCTCTGGCTAAGTGACCCGGCCTCAGTTTTCTTCCGTAGAATGGGGACAGAGTCTAGGCCAACTGGTCACAGCCTACTCACCATACAGCTGCTGGATGCCCCGAAGGTCGTCCTCAGGCAGCTGGAAATTGTCAGTGTCCATCCACTGGTAGAATGGCGCCATGATGGCACTAGGGTTGCTCGAATGCTCCAGCCCAAGTGCATGGCCCAGCTCATGCACTGCCACCAGGAAGAGGCTGATTCCTGTAGTGGGGGCATGTACAGTCCCTCTGGTTCATCCTAGGCCCTCTGGGATGCCATGGACCCCACTCTTGCTTCTCTTTCGGATGGGGCTGAGCTGCTCTGGCTTCTGGCATCTAACTTCCCCATCTGAGAAATGGGCCCAGCATATCCTTCTCTTCCAGCCCTCCCTTGGATGGGACAACAGCTTGAGACTAAGTACAGGGCTCCAGAGATATGGATAGGGGACATCCTCCCCTCTGGAGCCTGAAGCTACTGAGCTGGATGGGCGGCCCAGCTTGGGCACTGCCTGGCCTGTTCCCAAGCCTGGCCAGCTGTCCTCACCATGCAGGTCAGTGCTGGAGAAGGTCCAGGGCTCATCTGCGTCGAAATGGGTGTCCCCACCCAGACCAGGGCCGGGGAAATAAGCGTGAGCCAGAAAGCCACCCATGCCATCAAACGGTGAGCTGTCGCCATGGAAGCCAGAGGCGAAGAGCACCATGATGTCAGCCTCCTCCCGCCTTCGCAGCCGAATGTCATCATAGGACACTTCCTGGAAGACCAGGGGCGTGACCCGCTCCCACACGTGGAAGGCCCTGCGCACGGCTTCCATCGAGTTGTGCCAGCCCAGCTTCTCTGTGTAGTTCTGGATGCTGCAGGGAGGCAGGGGGATGAGAAGGGGCAGGCTTGTGGGATACTGCCTGTTGCTGCATCTTCCTGAGAGCGCACAACGCTGCCACACTACCCACTGGTACAAATTAGAACACATCACACCCAGTAATTCATTAAACTATGACTCTACGTCTTCATGGCAGAAAACAAGCAAAGACTTAAGAAAGACAGTAAGGCTGGGCAGCTGTGGTGGTGGCACACGCCTTTAATGCCAGCACATGGGAGACAGGGGCAAGGGGATCCCTGAGTTCAAAGCCAGCCTGGTCTACAGAGCGAGTTCCAGGATAGCCAGGACTGCATAGTGAGACCCTGTCTCAAAAAACCAAAAAGAAAAAAAAAAAGAAAGAAAAAGTAAGGGCCTGGGCACAGTAGGGCAAGCCTGCAATCCCACCACTTGGGGAGGGGAGATAGGGGGATTGGGAGTTCAAGGTTAGCTTCAGCTACACAGCAAGATTAAGGGTATCCTGGGAATAACATGAGAACTTGACCTTGTCTTAATAAATAAAACCCCCCAAACTCCAAATCCCAAACCAAAAGAGAGTAAATATAGTAAGTAAATGAAAGTACAGGTGCTTTGTGGCCATGGGGTGGGGGCCATGAGGTCTGGGAAACAGGCCACTCTGAATGTTGACCCCAGCACCAGGTAGACCCTAACTTTAGCTGTGTGACCTTGGACATTTGACTAGACAGTTTCGGTTTCTTCATTTGAAAGGCAGCAAGAGGGGAGGGAGTGATACTTTCTTTGTGGGGTCCTTGAGAAGATTAAGTAAATACTGCATGAAGGGCACACAGCTGTGGGCAGTGGTTCTCAACCTTGCTAATGCTGTGACCCTTGAATACTGTTCCTCCGGAACTTTATTATTTCATTGCTACTTCATGACTTGTATCTTGCTACGGTTATGAATCATAATGTAAATATCTGATATGCAGGATATCTGATATGCAACTCCCGTGAAAGGGTCATTCAATCCCCAAAGCAGTCGTGACCCACATCTTGAGAACCACTGGCTCAGAGCCTGCACATGAGAAGTACAAAGCCCACACCCTCCCTGTGGATTAGACTGAGCTGCTGGTGCAAAAGACACCCATCAACCGCAAAGGGGGATTTGACTGGGTGGACCAAATTCACTCCAGGACCTCAGGCCTGAGTGAAAACAGAACACTTGACTACCTCATCTACTGACCAAACGGATTCAAGAGTCCATCTGGCCACATCAGGCCAGGCCAGTCTGCAGCTAGCAGGGGCCAGGAAAGGACCCAGCAGGGGATGCTTGAAAGAGACCTGGCCTTCTCCGGAGGGAGCCTTCCTACACGGTGAGCTGGGACCATCAGCACAGCTAGCCAGACCCCTTCTCGGAGAGGAATTCGGAGTCCCCCTGAGAGGGGCAGCTAGCTCCCTCCCCAGCTGAACCCATACCTGAACGTTAGGTGGTGACTGTTCCACGTCTTTCCTGTCAGGGTGTAACGCTTCCTCCGACGCAAGTTGGCTTTCACACGTACCCCAAACTGATCAGGCACCCCACAGCGGGGCCGCTTCATCCACCTGGACCAAAGATACAGAGGGGTCAGCTATGGGTCATCTCTTCCAGGCAGCCCACCTCCTTCCAACTCCCTCTTGCTTCCCAGTTTTCCCTCACAGGGTTGTGCTGGGGGTGGGAGACTCTGTTTGGCTTGCAGAATAGTGGGTAAAGAGATTGCGTTTTCAGAAGACTGAGCGATCAGCAGTGACTCAAAAGGTGTGCCTCCTCTCGGAGTGTAACCCAAGCGTGGGACGGGTGCTCTTGAGGCCCTCTGTCCCAGGAATGTCGAACTCTGTGCTTCTCAATGTATCTATAGGTCCTATCACCTCTAATAGGGCAAGGCCTAACTTGGTTGTACCATCCAAGACTTCCCATTCCCATGCCTGTAACAGATATCACTAATCGAACATTATGCTCTTCCTGCCAAAGCTAGCTTGCATCTACTTCATCTCTTTTTTTATGTATGTGTATGTGTGAATTTATGTGCACTGTGTGTATCCAGGTGCTTGTTGAGGCCCTCTCAGATCCCCTGTCTGATGTGGGTGCTGGGGGGCGAACCTGGGTCATCGGCTTGAACAGTCAGTGTTAACCTTAACGCTCCAGCTCCTGTCTTATCTTGAACATCAGGCTTCAGGCAGCCATTCTAAACAGTAAACATTAGCAAGAAGACCACTAAAAACCATTTGCCGCTCCTCATCCAGGCTACGCTCCTCATCCAGGCTATGCTCCTGTGGAAACTCCATATACCAAAGACTCTCAGGGCAGGCCGGAGGGCAGGAGGCCTGTGGGGTCTGGGAGGGGTCACATGGAGGGACTCACGCCTTTGTCTCTTCATCAAGCACGCCCGTGACTGGGATCCCATAGAAATTCTGCATCTCCACGAGGGCGGAAGCCAGGATCTGGGCAGAGCGCATGGTGGACATGTGGCGGCTAGGCTGGGGTAGGTAGCCATAGAGCCGCAGCCAGTTCTGCAAAGAAGCCAGACAAGGTCTCCTCAGTCACTGCTCAGAACCCTCCAAGACCTCCCAATGCAAAGGAAAATTCAGTTCTTCCAGGGCCTATAAACCCCTGATCACCAAGCCCCAGCTCTCAGGCCTCACTCCTGTAACCCACCAGCCTTGGGGTCATTACACTTGCTCTTCTTGCTGCCTGGCACCTTCTTCCCTGGCCCCTCCCAGGTGGGACCCTTCTGCTCCAGGCAGGCTGCTGGGGACCCTCAAGTGTTGCAGACTATTTGTTTAACTATGCAAAGATGTGTTGCATTTGTTTGATTAAGTAAAAACGTGTTGCTGTTTATCTTGCCTGCCTAAGGCACCTGATTGGTCTAATAAAAAGCTGAACAGCCAATAGTGAGGGAGGAGGTACAGGCGGGACTTCCAGGCAGGAGGAGTAAGTAGGAGGAGGAATTTGGGCTCAGGAAAAGAAAAAAAAAAAAGAGATGCACCAGGGGCCTGCCAGCTAGCCAGACACGGAGGAACAGGAAAGTAGGACATACAGAATGAAAGAGAGGTAGAAAGCCCCAAGGCTAAACATAGATGAATAGTAACAAGTTCATTTAAGTTACAAGAGCTAGTGGGACAAGTCTAAGGTATGGCTGAGCATTCATAATTAATAATAAGTCTCTGTGTCTTTATTTGAGAGCTGGTTAGCGGCCCAAAGAAAATGCCAACTACACTCAAGTATTCAGACTCTCTCTCTCTGTTAAGATTTTATTCTTCTTTCTCTCTCCCCCTCTCCTTCTCTGTGTCTGTCTGTGTGTGCATATGTGTGCACAGGTGCCTGAATATGCCAGAAGAGGCCACTGGATACCTAGGAACTAGAATTACAGGCAGCTGTAAGCCACTGGATGCAGGTTCTGAGGACCGAATTCTGGTCCTCTGCAAGAGCAGCAAATGCTTTTAACTGCTGAGCCGTCTCTTCAGCCCCTCTTTTTAATTAAAGCATTTTTAGTTATGTGTGTGCATGCTGGTGCCCATGGAGTCCAGAGAGGGTGCTGGATCCCCTGGAGCTGGAGTTACAGGTAACTGTGAACCGCCTGACATGGTGCTGGGTCCTCTGCAAGAGCAGTGCATGCTCTTACCTGCTGAGCCCTCTCTCCAGCACCATTTAAAAAATGATTGATTTATTTTTATTTTTCGAGACAGGGTTTCTCCATGTTGCAGTTCTCGTTGTCCTGGAACTCACTCTGTAGACCAGGCTGGCCTTGAACTCACAGAGATCTGCATGCCTCTACCCTCCCAACTGCTTGGAATAAAGGCGTGTGCCACCACAGCCTGGCTAAAAAATGATTTGTTTTTATTTATTCTTCGAAATATTCTTACATTTATCCAATGCATTTTGAACACATCCCCACTCATGTTGGAATTTTGACTGGCTTGATCTTATGCTTGATTTTCAACAGACACATCATGTCTGAAAGTGGGCATCTCACAACTCTTCCCCACCCACCAGCTCTTAATTCTTCCTGCACACTCGTCCGCTGATCCCTGATCTGTTAACACAGATGACTCATCCACAGCTGAATCCTCACAGTTACTTACATTTGGCACTTTGACCAGTTACGAGCCTCTGCATTGACCACTGCCCACTGTGCAAAGAGACTTCTCTGACCTAAGTTAAGACCAACACAGATCTATGGGTTTAAATATAAATATTTAGAAGGCGGTCCAACAGCATGACTAATATAACAGCAGTAGGGTTAGCCCTAGAGCCTGTGATTTTCCCAGTCACCAACCTTTTCCCTGCTCTGCCACGAATTGTTTGTTTATTTTAACTAGGAAAAGAGTCTCTAGTCAGGCTACCCTTCAACTTGCTATGTAGCCAAGGATAGCCCTGAACCCCTTATCTTCCTGCCTCCACTTCCCAAGATCACAAGTGTGCTCTACCATGCCTGGTTCCATGCAGTGCTGGGGCACAGATTCAAGGATTCATGCATGTTAGGCAACCATTTGACTGACAGATCTACATCTCCGGCTCCCATTGTCCGGGTTGAATCTGTCTCCTCATCTGCAGAATGAAGACCAATGTCCCCTTACAGGGTGTCTTTGTCACTCTTGCTGTGATGAACCACCATGACCAAAGAGCCTTGGAGAGGAAAGGGTTTATCTGGCTTCACTTCCGCTTCACTGTTCACTACTGAAGGCAGTCAGGACAGGAACTCAAGCAGGGCAGGAACCTGGGGTCAGGAGCTGATGCAGAGGCCAGGGAGGGGTGCTGCTTACTGGCTTGCTCAGCCTGCTTTCTTATAGAAAGGATGGTACCACCCACAATGGGTTGGCCCCTCCCCAACAATCATGATTAAGAAAACGCCCTACAGCCACATCTTATGGAGGTGTTTTTTCAATTGAGGGTCCGTCCTTTCAGATAACTGTAGCTGTGTCAAGGTGACATAAAACCAGAGTAAGACTTGAGGGGCACAGACCCAGAAAAAGTACTTAGTACACAATCAGAGTGTTTGGTTCCCATCTAGAACTCACCAAGGCAAATCCCATCCACCTGACCATCTATCCACCTGTCACTCACCCATCACCCTTCCAGATGTCCCTGTACTCTCCGACTGTGCCAGACAGCATGCCAGCTGGGGGCTGTGGGAGACATGGCCATCTAGAGCATATAGGCTCCAGGAGACGGTGAATGCACCAGAAACCCGAAGCAGCAACTCCGGTGAATGATTCTGAGAAATGCTAAAAAATACCAGCCTGCCTCATGCCCTCAAGGCGGTGAGGGGATGGTACCCAGGTAGAAGCATGGAAGCAGATGTCTTCCTTGTCCTTCCCACATGTACTTGGCCACCTGGAAGCCCCACTTTCTACGTTGTTCTAGAAAGGGGAAGCCATATGCTGAGGGACCCCAAGGCAAGACAGTAGCTGGACACAGTAGATGCTTTGGGCTGACACCCACATATTGGCTCACCCGGCCCAAGTTTGATGGGCAGAGAGCAGCTGAGCCAAGTCCCAGACCGGCTGGCTTGCAGTTCCACTCGGAGGCCCCAGGGCCTTGGAGGGTGGCGGGCAGAGCAGCGAGCAGCAGCTTGGAGCCGAGAAACGAGTGTCAGCTCTGTACAGATAGAGTGGGGCCACGCCTATGCTCCATAAAAGGGACTGGATTGGAGCCGGCTTCATCTGTGAGGTTCTGCAAGGATGAAGTAGCAGGGCACCCTGTAAGTGTTGTGATGAAGACCGGGGCTCTGGCTGGCAACCTTGCTCCTGCCAACAGGGCGGAAGGAAGAGTCCAGGCTTCTGGTGAGACTGGTCTGGCTGGAGCAGGCCCAGGGTCCCGGGGCCGCTAGGGGAGGAGGGAGCACACCCGTGGTTTCCCCCCTCTCTCCGGGATTCCCACCCACAGGGTAGTAATGCTGCAACAATGTGTCGGTTCTTCCCGGGCACTGAAACCTCCCTGCAAAGCTCCTACCACAGGTTCTCTGGACAGTTTTCCTGAAGCCGCATGGCAAGATCCAATGGGCAAGCCACCAGACTAATGGCAAAAGGCATGGAGCTGATGCGTGCGTGCGTGCGTGCGTGCGTGCGTGCGTGCGTGCGTGCGTGCGTGCGTGCGTGCGTGTGTGTGTGTGTGTGTGTGTGTGTGTGTGTGTGCGTGCGCGTGTCGGGGTGGCTGCTAACAGATGAGGGCACCTTCGTACCACCTATTTGCATAAGGTAAAAATATCTCCAGTGCAAGCAATCAGAGTGGCAGAGGAGCTGATTAGCCTGTCTGCAGAGCTCTAAGAGGGACAGGCTGGGGACAGAAGCCCAGGAGGAGAGGGGAGCTGGCCTGTCTGCAGCAGAGAGCTCCAGAGAGCTGCAGAGGTCTGGCAGAAGAGCTGCTTCATCCCAGAGCCAGCTCGGGGGCTGCCAGGCAGGTCCCAAGGGAACCTGGTGGCCCTCCTTCACATAGTCAAATGCCTTTAAGTCCCCAGGAAGCAGAGTTCCCATCTCTATCAGCTGTGCCTCGCAGCCACTGCTGGGGTGAAGATGACGGATGACACTCTGGGACAGGGACCTGCAGCCTCCCAGTATGAGGTGAAGCCGATGGCCAGCCTGCCTCTGGCAGACTCGTGCTCAGGGTGGCTGAACACCAAGTGTCCACAAACCTGCCAAGTGGCAGCAGCCACAGCCTTGGGGCTTCTGCCCTTTAGTGTTGGGAGTAAGCTCCATCCCGCCAGCACGGCAGTCAGTACTGGGCATAGTAAAGGAAGGACCCTAACCCGGGGCTTGTTACCCTTTCCATGGGGGCCACTGTCCAGTGACGGAGTAGGAGGGCTCTCCCATCATTAGAGCAGAGAGTGTGTATGTGGGTGTTCCTGGGCGGGTGTCTGTGATCGTTAGGGAGGCTGAGAACCACTGCCCTGGAGTCACAGCTGTGCTAGTCATTGGGGCTTCAGCCCTACATCCTACAAGTATTTATTGATGCTGCAGGTGAGTGACTTGACCCCAGGCACGAAGACAAGGGACGAGTCACAAGGGGAATTCCTGATCCTCAGGAGAGACTGCTGTGGGCCACGTCGTGCTCACAACCACTCCTGAAAGACAAATACCTGTCTATTCTCATTGTGCTGGAGCAAGGTTCAGAGGCCGTGAGCTGCTCTGGAACAGGCCTGGTTGCAGGAGGTTTCTGTAGCATTCTCGGTTCCTTCATCCAGTATGCTGGGCCCTGGCCCGTCTCAGGATCAGCACGGCGGCACAGCACTGACCAGGGCACCTGATCCTCCCTCCTCACACCCGACATCTCTAGCTGAGTCTGGGCGCTGAGCCAGCTGCCCTCCCCCAGGCCTGCTGAAGCAATGTGGAGGGACACAAGCCCGCCGGCCGGGAGGGCTTGTCTGAGAAGGAGCCCCCAGATCCCAGGTCAATGCTGTGCCTAGGACAGCTAGTGGAGAGGGGTCTGGGGCCAGAGCCATTGCTGTCTCCACAGCCTGCTCCTGGGGCTTACAGCAGGGGACTGACCAGTGGCACAGCAGCCCCTCCCCCAG